TAACAGTTTCAATAGGAAGTTCATTTTGAAAAATTTTAAATAATTTTAGTTGGTTTACTTACTTTGTTCATCTGTGGTTTGTGGTTTGTTGGTTCTCAAACATCTTCCTTTTTTCTGAAACATCAACTATAACATTCATGAACTTCCCCACAGCTCCAGCAGAGCTCTGGACGTCACTCTGTGTTTGTAGACGACTCTGGAAGCAACACATTCAAATCTTAGTACAAGTGTCACACTCTTGTAGATGGACAGTCAAATATAATTTGTTTCAAGCTGTCCTTACATTAACTCTAATTTCAAATAAAACACCACAAACATGTTTTAACAATGACATCATTCTAGGCCGGAGAAGCACATAATAAAATCTTTGAAAAGTCTCACCTCCAGATCAGGTTCTCATAATCCTCCTGCTCCACACTGTGTGTCTCTGCTCCTGTCTAACTGTCCTGTGTCCTGTTACATTTGAATTTTCCCTCCAAAAGTTTTGGGAGGAGAATTCCAGAGGGAGGAGCCTCACCAGAAATTATAATAAAGTCATGTTTCCTCAACCTGATTAAAACATGCAGGTCTCACATCGGCCACAATCAAGCGATGTTTGTAAGATTTAAACATGCTGGACAGAGAAACGTAAAAAAGTGATGTTATTGTTGTCAAATTTGTTTTTGCAATTTGAGCAACCCCTCTCAGACCGTTTTTTCAGTGTATGTTTTGGATAAGGTAACAACATTTTAACATGGCTTAAAGTTGCACTATGTAATTTTTTTGGTTGGGGGTCCGTCACCTGCTCGTTTCTATGGAGATGTCATTGCTCTACCTGGAATGTTCCACAGTATGACATTAAACAGCTCTACCTTACTTTTATTCAATTACAGGTGGATTTATAGCTCAAAAACACCTCGAAAAACAGACATTCTGACTGTGAGCGGGGTCGCCTCTCCACAGATCTGACCTGTAACTTGGTCAGGTTTGGTCTCCATGAAGATAGAACATTCCAGACAAAGCGGTTACATCCAGAAAGGTTACACAATGCACCTTTAAAGCTCACAAGAGTCAGTTTTGCGTAATGTGAAACCTTTAACACAACCCAATCAGAAATCACACGAGGACAAGTTCTGCTGACAAATCAAGTGGAAGTATTTGAGCGAACGCCGGCCCCTTTTCCTACCCGCGTTCCTCTCCGTCTATCTATCCTCCTCTTTTATACCTCCCACACATCACTTAACCTGTCTCATCGCTGTCTGCCTTCTTTTTTGTCATCAGCCACTCTCTCTGTCCTTTATCTTTGTTTTCCATTTCTCTTCATCTCTCCGTCGTCCAACTCTTGCAGTCCATCACCACCACCGTATGTCCCTTGTTCCGTAGTGGTATATCAGCCCCTGGTGTCTCACGCGGGCATCCCACTGGCCAGGGCCCCAGCGCGAGCAAATCACTGTTGACATTTTAAAAGGCTCTGGATCAAATGAGCTGCAGTGGGCTGGGAACATGGAAACCCCATTCGTTCAATGGCTTCGATATCCCACTGGACATTATCATCTGTCTGTGCTCTGGCCAGTTAAGCTTATAGGTTAAAGATCCTATATTACACAAAGCTGACTCTCGTGAGCTTTAAAGGTGCATTGTGTTTTTTTCGTGGAGGGTCCATCAAATGCTGTTTTTCAATAGAGATGTTATTGTTTCGTCTGGAGTGTTTCACAGTATGTTATTAAACCTTTCTATCATTGTGGAGACCAAACCAGACCGAGTTACAGGTCAGATCTGTGGAAAGGCAACCCGCACTCTGTGACAAAGAGGGCCTTTGTCCCTATTTATTAACATTTAATTTAATTTTACATCTGTTTATCCATATTCAACTAAACAGTTAAATATTACTATCCCGGGTTTGTTTTATTTAGTCTTTGTTTAGTTAAGATACACCAGTTACTTCATACTTTATTTGGTTATATCTATTCATTTGGTTACCATAACTTACCAGTTTACCTGTTACTCCACTGGTGGTGGTCTGGAGACAAAAGAGGCGGTGTGACTTTGGTCGGTCATATTTACAGTCTCTGGGGAGAGGTTTTGGGTCAGACCAAGTGGAGGGGAGACTCGGTTTCAGTTTCAGTTCTCTTTTGTTTTATGGATTTTTGTGACGGAGCCAGTCCGTCTATGATTCTAGTCGGCGTTTTCCCCATAAATCTTACCGCGGCCTGCGCTGGCGTGAACGCGCACACGCACGTGCTGATTCATCCCACACACACGAGTTCCCTCCCTGTTTCCCCGCTGTTTTATTCATCCATGCCGTATTCGCTATTAACGCCTTTCCCCCTCTTTCCTCCGCTAATAATTCGCCAAGGGTGCACACTTGATTGCGTTAGAATACTTTATTTCATACATGCCAGATCCTACCTGTCCGCCTTTGCCAAACCGAGCCTCTGTTTCCTCGTAGTTGAAATAGGCGCTGTTCACACCGTGGTGCTGGTCATGTGACGCACGTTATGTAATATGAGTTCTTACACATTTTTAAGGTATTATTTTTGACACATAATGTAGATTATTACTGCGTGCTCAATGTAGAATAGACAAGTTAGGTTTAAGAAATGGTTTGTCTCTGTAGTGATTTTTATATGTTGGTCAGTGGGAGGAGTCAGGTGGTATAAAGGGGAGCCGTTTCTGGCTGTCAATCAGTCTGCCCCTGTTACAGAGCAGGTAACATCGGTGTGCGGTACAGGATCTTAAAGGGGACAATTAACTTAGAACTCGACCCAGTTTCTTTGTTGTAAATACTTTTGGAGAGTTTTGCTCACTGTAAATATTTGTGCACTGTTTTTGGGATCTTTTTGCACTTTGGACACTGGCACAATAAACCACCTGCACTTGGAACTTTGCTCTTGCCTGAGTTTTTAATAGAGCCCTGCCACAATTTTGTTTGTTTGATTTTCATATTTCAGTGTTTCTAGTTTATTTAGAGCACTGCAATTTAAAGGGGACTTAGGCCAATGTAAGAAAGTAAGTAGCACACTTTAGAAACAGGTCAAGTGGCTAGGAGAGCTCACCTGTGTTTGTTGTTGTTTGACCCAGAGGAAGGTACTTCCTGTGTGGGGGGGGGGCTATAAATTGGGGGCAGTTTAGCCTGGAGTTCACCACCAGTGTAGTCGTTTGTAGCCGTGTGCATGTGGGTTTATCCTTTGTTTTTGTTTTTTTTTATTTCTGTTGCTTTGGACTTTTTTTAAGCACAGTTACTTTTTTGTAAATATGTAATTTTTCATTTTTCAATCCACGGTGGAAGTAAGAAAAAATATTTTTGGTGAAATGGACATTTTTGTCTGTCTGTTTTTGTTTATTTTTGTGCTATAAAACCATCTGTGTAATTAAATAAATGTAAAGTAGAGCTGTTTAATGTCATACTGTGGGACATTCCAGGCTGCGCAGTGACATGTCTGTAGAAACAAGCAGGTGGGTCACAATATAAAAAGTTGCAATATGCATTTTTAAGGCATGTGTAAAATCCCTCAGTTTATCCAGATAGAATCTGTAGCAAAAAGAGAAATTCAGTTTGTCAGTTGGACAAAAATTTATTTGGTTGAATAATTTCGCAGTTCATCCAAGCTGCTTCTTCAGTTCTGGTCAGACGCTGGTGGACACTTCCTTATATCTGCCTAAAGGGAGGAGCTAACTACACTGAAACTACTCTGAAACTAACACACCTACTTGTTTACAGTTTCTGTTAGTTAGCTTGGCCTATTGAACTTTCACTGCGTGTGAGGTCATATCAGCAGAATCATTTAGGGCCATAGTGGGTGCTTTCACTAGCCAGGCTGGTGCCACCTAGTGCCTCCCCTCAATTTCATTTCTCTCCAGCAACTAGATCAGGAATCGGAATACACTAGACGGTTCGCAAAAACCCTGCAAGTTTGTGCACCAGCCAATCAGTGAAGAGCCATACATTCTGTTTTGTCAACGATTCCCGAGATCGAGGATTTAAAGCCGGAACAAAGAGAATGTTTGGTGAATTTTGTCAAGGGGAAAAACGTTATTGTCCTTCTTCCTACGGGATTTGGGAAAAGCTTAATATACCAATTAGCCCCGTGAGTGGCTCATTACAGACGTCACGACCAAATAGCAGTGACTGGTTAAATTAAAAAGTACCCACTTACCATCAAGCGAACGAATCCTAACACTGCGAGGTCAGACGGTTTCTACAAAGTGAAACCGTCTGATGAATCAGGCTATGCTTTCGCACCACTGGGCCTGACCTGGCTATCTCTATTGTTCTCTTTTTTTGATTTAGGTTTGAGGATGGAGTTGTAAATAATTCTGCTAATAGGACCCCACACTCAGTGAAAGTTCAACAGGCCTGGCTAACAAACAGAAATCATAAACAAGTAGACTGTTAGTTTCAGAGTAGTTTCAGTGTAGTTAGCTCCTCCCTTCAGACAGATAAAAGGAAGTGTCCACCAGCACTGTGACCAAAACGGAAGAAGCAGCTTGGATGGTCTACGAAACATTTTCGACCTAAATAAACGTTTGTCCAGTTGACATATTGAATTTCTCCTTTTGCCACTTTTATAATGGATTTTATAATGTTGATACTTCCTCAAAACAGACCTGGAGTTGTGTTTTGTTTCATTCACACGTCATTGAATAATCCTGTCTGTTTACATCTCCAAAGTTCAACATGTTCTGTTCCACGTTATGATGTCACGAAGTGGTAGCTTTCAAGTTAACATCTCTCTCTTACCTTTAGTTCAGGAGAGATTGACAATTGTGAAAATCATCCAAATGATTCTAGTGAATGCGTATGGAGCGACATCACAAGGTGGAACAGAGCGTTTTCTGTGTGTTAAACCTGTGAATGAAACAAAACACAACTCCGGGTCTGTTTGTGACGAGGAAACAACATTAAAACACAGATCAGAGACTCTAGCTCATACAATATTTACAAGAAAAAACACACACTTACGTAACTCTAATCACCATGGTTACGCCCGCACTGACTTTGTTTGTATTGTATTTTGCAGATATCGAACTTTTGTTTCCGAAGACGCCGGTCCCAACACGCTGGTTGCCACGGTTCTAGCTAAAGACCCAGATGGCGATGCTATAATCTACTCCATAACAGCGGGCAATGAGGAAGGAAATTTCATCATAGACAGCCAGAAAGGTGATACTTCTTAATTTCTGAGCCCTACCCATTTACGTTTTACATTTCAGGCTGTGTAATTGACAGGCTTTCCATCACATAACACTTCAATTTCCCCTAATACTTTGCCGCTTCAATGTTACACGGTGGACGCCCTCTACTTTCAATGTCAATGTGCGCAGATATTGAAGTTGGTATTAAAAACCATAATTTCAAAACAGGCAGTGTCCTTTTGTTATTGAAAGTCGTAAATAGAAACTTTAGAGGGGCTCATATTACACTGTTTTCTGATCTATGTTATAATTATAATGTCATTTCCTCATCACAGACAGACCTGGAGTTGTGTTTTGTTGCATTCACACATTTTTAACACACAAAACCAGCATATTTAAGCACTGAAAACACTCTGGACCACCTTGTGATGTCAGTAGGTAATACAGGAAGTGCTCCAATGTGTTTTTAAACTTCATACGCCTTCTCTAGAGCATTTTTTCCCAAAAACTGGATCGCAAGGCAAGGCAAGTTTATTTGTATAGCACAATTTGTACACAAAGTAATTCAAAGTGCTTTACAGAATAAGAAATACATTAAAATCATAATAAAAACAAATCAAAACATAAATAATCATAAAGTAAAAAAAAAAAAAAAAGAGAGACATAAATTGGAGAGAAGAGTGCGGAATGAAAACCTTTCAGTTATATGCACAGTTAAACAGAAATGTTTTGAGCCTGGATTTAAACAGCGTCACAGAAGAGTCTGTCTCACATGTTCAGACTGTTCCAGGTTTTAGCTGCATGAACCTGAAACTCTGACTCCCCTTGTTTAGTCGTGACTCTGGGCACCAGCAGGAGGCCGGTCCCTGAGCTCCTCAGAGTGTGAGATGTTCATATGACACTAACATGTCACAGATGGACTTTGGTGCTCGGCCATGGAGACACTTGTACAAGCAGAGCTGCTTTAAAATCACAAGAGATTTTTTGGGGGGGTCACCTTGTCACGATCTGCATGTACATCTGCAGTATTCAGTTCTTAAAGTATTTCTATGCTTATTCCTTTGACTACTACATATATGTGTGAATTGGGATTTTCTGTGCTCACAAAAATGAAACCAAAGCACAGAAACAGACTGAATGCTGCGCCTGATATACGTGCTGTGCTCTCCTCATGCAACCCAGACTGGAACACGCTACAAAAACACAGACAGGCTCACCTATCTCATTAGAAATGTTGAAATGTTAAGACATGTTTTGTATAATTTCTAATCTTTTTGTTATTATTTTATTGACTATTTTGTTGAATGCTGAAAAGAGAAAGAAATGGGCTACATTTATATGTCCAAATATGTGACTTATATGTAGTTAATATGATTAGCTGAGATTGAGGAGCAGGACCACGCCTCAGCCGCCCTCTCCTCTCACCAGCGAACCACAACTCACCTCCACCACGCCTCGAATTTCCCAGAAGCCGATTTCCCATCATCCCAGTGTGTCCTCGGCTAAATCGACCCCACCATCCCATCCCCTATTTTGTCTTTGAGTCATAAGACGCCTACAAGGAGGGTCCTGTTCCCGGCTGGGCCAATTGACGATTGAGACGGAGCCCCCACCTAGAGTCTCAACCCAGTCATCTCTGCCCCGCCTCGTACATTATCAATACACTTCTTCGCACTATGTCGTTGTTGGTGTGGTCCTAGCTCGTGAAGGATCCTTTAATTGTGTTTCAATTACTGTTTTTCATTGTTTAAAACTTGAGTAATACTAATTGTTCAGAGAGAAACGATCACTCAGTCAACAATAAAATATCCTCGTTAATAATTCAATAATGGTCAAATCCAACTTTATTTTGTGATTTATGAATAATGTCTGTTGACTTGGTGTTTTGTGATTTTTAAAATATGGGTCCCCAGAATTAAAGTTTGGGAAACATTGATCACTTTGGATGATTTCAGCCCTGGAATTGCTCGTCTCTACTGAGCAAAAGGTTAAATGTCAAAGGTAGCTGTTCACTTGAAAACACCACTACATGACATCACAAGGTGGAACAGGGCATTTTGAGCTTTAGAGATGTAGACACACAGAAAATAAAGGGTTACTCCAACATGTGAATGAAATAAAACACAACTCCAGGTTTGTTTTTCATGAGGTAACAACATTTCAACATGGATTAAATCTCACAGGAGTAAATTTAGTGTAATATAGGACCTTTAATGTTATTTTGGAAGTGACCGCTGTGGCTTTCCCTTTCAGTGGCAGGAGCAGGTGCTGGTGTGAATGCCTACCGTGCTTCTTGGCTTTGGAGCTTTTGGCGACTGCAGAGTTTATCTTTTTTATTTACCCTTTGATCCGAGACCAGTGGCAATCGCTGTGACATTTGTCACCCAACCCTTTCAATTCAATTTCACAACAACTGCTCTATCATAGCTCACCATCTTCAGGCGGAGCTCTGCTGCTCCTCTTTCCTTTGTGTCCTCTTTTCATATTCCTTTATATTACCTCGCTGGATGTTTGGTGCTAGAAATGCTAGAAAAGGCGACAATATGGCTAGGCCTGTCACAATAACAAATTTTGAAGTGTGATATTTTGTTGAAGTAAAGATAGATGATATACGACAAGACTGAAACAAATTTATGCCACTGACAATAACACAAGAGCAGATTTATATCACAAACATTTATTCTAGTTATTTTGCATCTGTAATGAGTCATAAAAATATCAATTAAACCTTTAACAGCTTAAATCTTATCACATAGCCAAAAAATAAACACAAATTTCCCAGTAGTGCAAAGAAAATGTTCCCATGATAAATACTGACCCCCCAAAAATATTGTTCAGCTTTCATATATTGAACAATAAGTTTATTATTTGGTGCTAGAAATTTTAAGGCTTTTAGACGACAATATGACGACAATAATAACACATTTTGAAGTTTGATATATTGTTGAAGTAAATATTGATGATATACGACAAAATTGAAACAAATTTATGCCACTGACAATAACACAAGAGCAGATTTATACCACAAGATTTATTCTAGTTATTTTGCATCTGTAATGAGTCATAAAAGTTATTAATTAAACCTTTTACAGCTTAAATCTTATCATATAGCCACAAATTTCCCAGTAGGACAAAGAAAATGTACTCATGATAAATGCTGACCCCCCAAAAATATAATTCAGCTTTCATATATTGAACAATAAGTCGATTATTTTAGAACATGTTTGGTGTTTGGTGCTGTTAGACGACAATATGACGACAATAGTAATAAATTTTGAAGTGTGACATTTTGTTGAAGTAAAATAGACGATAAAAGACAAAACTGAAACTAATTCATGCCGCTGACAATAACACAAGAGCAGATTTATATCACAAAATTTATTGTAGTTATTTTGCATCTGTAATGAGTCATAAAAGTTATTAATTAGACCTTTTACAGCTTAAATCTTATCATATAGCCACAAATTTCCCAGTAGTGCAAAGAAAATGTACACATGACAAATGTGGACCCCCAAAAAATATTGTTCAGCTTTCATATTTTGAACAGTAAATCGATTATTTCAGTGCATGTTTGGTGCAAAAAATTCTAAGGCTGTTAGACGAGAATGATGACAATAATAACAACATTTGAAGTTTGATATCTTGTTGAAGTAAATACAGATGATATATGACAAAACTGAAACTAATTTATGCCACCGACAATAACACAAGAGCAGATTTATATCACTAAATTTATTGTAGTTATTTTGCATCTGTAATGAGTCATAAAAGTTATTAATTAAACCTTTAACAGCTTAAATCTTATCATATAGCCACAAATTAAACACAGAGGTCCCAGTAGTGCAAAGAAAATGTGCCGATCCCCCAAAAATATTTCGTGACAGGCCAACCTTTATATTATTTTAGTGGATGTTTGAAATTCATTGGCTTTTAGACGACAATATGGCTAGGCCTGTTACGATAACACATTTTAAAGTGTGATAATTGCTGAAATAAATATCAATCAATCAATCAAACTTTATTTGTATAGCACTTTTCATACATTTAAAATGTAGCACAAAGTGAAATAATTAAAATCAAGAGCAACTCCCCCACCCCATCCCTTTGTTTCATCCATATATACAACCATTTAAACATAAACATAAAAACAAAAACATAAAACTCCTAAAGGTTATTATAAAAATCAAAATGGAGACAAAGTAAAACAGTAATGATAATTTAATTTAGAATAAATAAATAAATATAATAATAATAATAATTTAAGTTAAGACAGATAAAAGTTTCAATTAAAAGCTAAATTAAAAAGATACGTTTTGAGTTTACTTTTAAAAATATGAACACTCGCAGTGGACCTCAGATCCTCAGGTCGACTGTTCCACAAACGGGGGCCATAAAAGCTGAATGACGCCTCACCGTGAGTTTTAGTCTGGACTCTTGGGACAGTTAAAAGAAGACTACCTGAGGACCTGAGAGTCCGAGAGGGCTCATATGATAAAAGCAGATCAGATAAATAAATAGGACTAAGACCATTAAGAGCTTTATAAACTAATAAAAGAACTTTAAAATCTATCCTGAAGCTCACAGGAAGCCAGTGCAGAGACTTCAGTACCGGGGTGATGTGCTCTCGCTTCCTGGTCCTCGTCAGCAGTCGTGCTGCAGAGTTTTGGAGGAGCTGCAATGGAGCTGTAGATTTCTTTGGAAGACCAGAAAGGAGAGCATTGCAGTAATCAACACAATTTGTAATAAAAGCATGTATTAAAAATATAGACGATACACGATAAAACTGAAACAAATTTATGCCACTGATACAATAAGTCAAGACCGGATTTAAAGGTGCACTATGTAACTTTTTTGTGGAGGGTCCATCACCTGCTTGTTTCTATGGATAAGTCATTGCTCTGCCTGGAATGTTCCACAGTATGACTTTAAACAGCTCTACCTTACATTTTTTTCAATTACAGCTGGTTTTATAGCTCAAAAATACCTAAAAAACAGGCATTCTGACTGTCAGCGGGGTCGCCTCTCCGC